ACCCTGACAGTGGAGGAGGCCAAGGATGGACATGTCGTCAGGGATGTGGGAGGGGGAATTAAAATGGATGGCAACCGGAAGGTTGGTATGGTTGGTGCATGCAGAGTGCAGAACCTATGCCGGAGCATCTGCGCTCTGCGTGCACCAACCATGCCAACCTTCCGGTTGCCATCCGTTTTAATTCTCCCTCCCACATCCCTGACGACCATGTCCATCCTTGGACTCCTCCACTGTCAGAGTGGGCCAAACGTAAACTGGAAGAACACCACCTGATATTTTGCCTGGGAGCTTACAGCCCAATGGCCTCAACATTGGCTTCACCAACTTCAAAATCTCTCCAAGCCCAGCCCACCCCCTCCTCCTCCTCACCTCCTGACCTGACCTGTCCACCTTCCTACTCACCTATCCACTCTAACCTTCCCACAGACTAATCACCAACCCCTTGACCACATCCACCTATCACTATCTCCCTTATTCTACCCCCCCAGCACCCTCCCCCCACCCTACTATTATTATTTCTGGGCTCCTCTCCCCCTATCCAGTTCTGAAGGGCGGCTGTGGCCCAAAACATTGACTTTCCTGCTCCTCTGAAGTTGTCTGACCTGCTATGCTTTTCCAGCCTCACAACTAGAAACTAAAACTAGAGGGAATAGGTTTAAGGTGAGAAGGGAAAGATTTAAAAGGGATCTGAGGGGCAACATTTTCACACAGAGGATGCTGCATATATGGAACAAGTTGCAGAGGAAGTGGTAGAGGTGGGTAAAATTACAACATTTAAAAGACATTTGCACAGGGGCATAGATAGGAAACGTTTAGAAGGAAATGGGCCAAACACAGGCAAATGGGACTAGTTCAAATAAGGAAACCTGGTTGGCATGGACAACTTGGGCTGAAGGAACTGTGCTGTGTGACTATAACTTTCACTGGTTTCATGCTTATTTTAACTGCTCTTTAATATGAAATAAGTTTCACAAAAAACTGGATTGCATTTTGCTTCTCCCCATTCCCAGCATCTCCTTTAGCTGGAAAGCCAAATGAGGAAACAATAGTACTGAATCTCATTAATTTGTTCACATATCCAGTCAACTAGCCCATCAGAGGTCAAGCAGAGACCTATTTACATAAGTTGAATCTCGCCTTTTCAAATTGAGTATAACTGACATTATTTTAATTATGGAAATAAATGATGTTGGCACACGAGTCGCAAGATGAAAGTAAGGAATGGAGCAGTTTTAAAGCTACAATCGTCACACTGTTTCACAATGTAATCTTCCTATACAGAGGAGCTTAATCAATTGACACAAACGTTTTAAAGATTTCAATACAATCAAAGCCCTGGGAAAACTTGAGAAAAATTTCCCAAATGAATAACAAATTGTACAATACAAATCTTTCATAATGCAAAGAATCACCATACCACAAGTAATACAATATTTTAAATTTAAAAAAATAGAACTATCCTGGGGACATGTTTTTACATACTAGGATACTACCCTTTCAGTATGAGGATTGGAATTGGGATATGGACAATTATGTGCATCAGAATCCAATTCAATATTAGTTGTGAATGTCAAAAAGCTTAAGGATGACCAGTGCAGCAAGGGGAAAAATATCAAATTGATGCAGTAGGTAATGATATCAGGGTTGGAGATAAGACACATTGCTGTCACAGCAAAGGGGGCTTTAATTCGTAACCAGGTGAGACTGCTTGGTGCTGATATGAGGTGGCCACACATCATTTCATTCCCCAGCACAAATATTCTTCACCTTGAAGGCAACAGAAAAATACACAAACTGCCTTATTTTGAATTTCTTGTACTCACCTGTGGTGCTCCAGGAGTATCCAAGGCTAATTCTGGCAAATCCTTCAGCAGCATATCAAAGGATTTTTCCACATCATTCGTAGTGAGTACTTTCCCACACAGATCAGACAGAAGTCTAGAGGTGAGCTCACGGTGGCTGGCTTTCCCCTCTAAAGCTAAAGAAACTGCTAACACTGGCACAGTGCACTTCATTTCTCCAAGATTCAAGTTATTCAGCAGCTCCTGTGCAACAGTAAATAAAACAATGAAAACAGAACAGCCTAGAAAAATAATTTAAGATTGGGGATATTGGAACCTTCAACATTTCATAAGCAAGAGAGAGCTATTCAAACAATTAATCTGAAGGAAGTGGGGAAATGAACTGGTAGTGACAATACCTCATATAGATGTCCAAATTCTCACAGAAAAAGGCATTAAATAGTCCATTTTTGCAGAATAAGTGTACGACCAAATGGAGATTAAGGAACTATAGATCTACAGTTGGCACTTATGATTGGGAAGAAGCAAATTGTTGTATATTGTTGACCCTTCTCTCCAGAGTCCAAAAGCATTGTGGAAGAAGGGAATGCACAGAGAGAAAGGGAAGGTGGGGCTAGGGAGAAGAAAGCTAACTACAAAAAATAAAATTCAAGTATTTAGTCTTTTTCAGTATTCCAGTTTTTGTAATGACAGGTAGTTTTACTCACAACCAGCATGCTGGGCACAAGATCACAGAGATTTAATTCAAGTTACCTCATTCAGCTATTTGAAGAACAGTACCTGCTGAAACAGGTCTAACAGCACATGGTCAAATATGATTGCACAAATGTGTGAAGGGGAATGCTGCAGTCACTTTTCTCTGTCTCAAAAATGTGCCTTTTAGTTAAAACATTTTGGACCATATCCAAACTTCATGACTTTTCTTGTACTTTTCTCTGGTCACATTAGACCTGCCCAAGCATCAGGAAACGGTGCCAAAGAATTTCCATCACAGCAGGATAATCTGACTTGATTGCTGCTTTGAGTAAAATATCCTTATTAATGGAATAATTTAGAATGTGCGCAAGGGAACAAATATACAAGTACACTGTTGAATGTCAAGGTTCCAAAGAAATCTAACTGAATGTGGCTCAAAGTCTCAGATGACATATTTCAGAGATCACAACTGTAGCAATAGCCAGTAATGAAACAGAAAAATCTTACTTCACAACTCAATGCTATTCCCAGAAAAGCAAAGATCTGTGTTGTCCTCATTATCATTTAGCTCTCAATCATCACATCTAAAACAAATTAATCATTTATTTATTTCACTGTTGTCAACAGCATACCGATTCACGTGATTTGACTGCTACCCATGCTTTCATAACTCACTTGCTGGCAAACAGCACTCAGTCAGATTAGGACGTCTGGTTGGTGCAGACGAGTTGGGCCGAAGGGTCTGTTTTTGTACTGTACAACTCTATGACTCTAATTCAATGCTTACCCTTATTGCCCATGTGGGAGTTCATTTCAGCTACTTGGTTTGGTTGAAAAATCAAATCAATAATAAACAATAAAAAAGATCCATCACAAGTTTAATTCAACCACGATGTATTAAAATTATTCCAGTGCATTTGATAGCAAAGTCCTAAGAGGGCCTATTCATTCATTTCCTATTGCAAGTTCTTACACAGCTAGACACAAATGAGTTCAGGAATCACCTTTTCTTGCAGAGGGATTGCAGCCTTTCCCCTGAAAGGATTCAAAATTATTGAGAGACATTCTAATTATTCAATCGCTTGAAAATGCTTGAAGAGCAGATTTTTGTCAAACATAGAAAACAGGAACAAGAGTACTTCTTGCGGCCCTTTGAACCTGTTCCACCATTCAATACAATCGTGGCTGGTTGTCCAACTCAGTAGCCTGTTCCTGCCTTGCCCCCCATATCCTTAGATATAGTTCTTTAGAGCTGAAGGAATCAAACTCCTTCTTGAAAACATTCAATGTTTTGGCCTTGACTGACGTGGCAGAGAATTCCACAGACTCACCACTCTCTGGATGAAAAAAATCTCTCATTTCAATGCTAAATGGCCTCCATATTCTTAAACTGTGACCCCGGTTCTGGACTTCCTGGTCATGTGGAACATCCTTCTTGTGTTTACTGTCTAGTCCTGTTAGAAATTTATAGATTTCTGAGATCCTCCCTCATTCTTCTGAACTGCCGTGAATATATGCAAATCAAACCAGTCTCCTCACAAGTCAGTCCTGCCATCCCAGAAATCAGTCTAATAAGCCTTCATTGTACTCCCTCTACAGACAGAACATGTTTCCTCAGACAAGGCGACCAAATTTGCATACAATGCCAAGAAGGGTTTGATCATCAAATACCCTTCCTGCTTGGTTCAATAACCTAAGATTTTATTTTTCTCAAGATCAGAGAACCAGCAAAGACATCCAGAAAAGATAACGCTCTCAACGAGAGCCATATTAGGAGAGCTTTAATGTTAGTCCTATTCAAAAAGGTTTTAATTTCTTAAGGTATCCATGCCCTTTGGTTACCACATCTTTGCCCCATACCCTACCAAATAACAGCAACTTCTCTACTTTTGATAGCTGGATGCTTGCCGTTAGCAACCATTCATGACATGGCCCCTGAAATGTTCAGGGAGGCAATATACTCAATTGATTTTTTTTCTCCTAAAGTCTATAAATTTGTGGTGTCTTGGCCTTCAGTTTGAGAGAATTATCTTCATAAAGACATTGTACAAATGTCTTCACCAAGTTCCCATAGTTTACTTTGTTATCCTTTACAGACTGAGCAAATACTATATTATCAGAATACATCCAGATCATTGTATCTTTGTTCAGTTGAGATATTGTGTAGAAGATGAAAAGCTTGAAATGTAGAGGATAACAATTTCAAAATTAATTAATTGGCTGTGAATATTCAGGAATTTTCAGAGGATGTGAATTGTGCTATAGCAGGTGAAGATTTGTTTAACTCCAGTTAACAACAGCAATGCGCATTTGTAAATTGATTTCAATGTAATAAAATGTTCCTGGCACATCACATGAGCATCCACAAAGGTAACACTGAGCTACATGAAGATCTGTCAAGGCAGGCGGCCAAAAGCTTGTTAAAGTAGGCTTTAAGCAGCATTTTAACAAGAGAGGTATAGACGCAGAAGGTTTAGGGAGATAAATTCAGATTCTGGGGGCAATGAAAAACGGATGCACAGAAAAGGATTGAAGAATACAGAATATAGAGCTGGAAGAGGGAAGAGCAGGACTACACAGCGATATGAACACAAGGACAAAACTGTTAAATCTGAGTTGCTGCCAGACTAGACAACTACATAGATTAGCAAACAGAGGTGACACTGAATGGGGCTAGATATAGGCAGTGTTTTGGATAAGTTGAAGTTTAATGTGGCCAAACCTGCCATCTGTCACCAACATTAGGCAAATTCAAGCAGCAGAGAGTAAGGACAATTACATGCAAAATATCAATTGCTTCTTGGTAATAGGAGCATGCATCTCGACTTCATCCAGAGACAACTAACTTAGTATTAAATCCCATTCCTCCAAATTCCAGTTGAAGGAGGAAAAAAAGCATTTAAAGTTTAGAAAATAAATCATACGTAAGACCATCTGTTTAGAATTGAACTTTTAAGTGAGGTTTCTTAATGCATTAGCAAATGTGCATTTTACACAGTTTATTCTAAGTCACAAGTCGTTTACTAGCTCTACTCCTGCCAAAGGGTACGTTAGTTCTTGCTTTGCCAAGACAGGTGAGGAATTTACATTATTTAAACTTAGAAACTTTGCAAAATGGTGATCAATTTTTATTTTTAGAAAAAAAAGGAAGAAAAAAGCTGGTACAGTAGTAGCAGCACTAAACAGTACATATTCTAGCACTTTAACAGTCACTAAACTTAGTGATAGCTTTGGAAAAGTTAAATGCACGTTAATTTGTCAATCTCCACAGTCCTGGGACACACCGCAGGTCTTTCTCAAGGTAAGGTTCAAGGTCCCCATTAATGACTGTACGTCCAATAGGTCAGAACTGGAGATGTTTGCTGATGATTGCACAAATCGCAACTCTTCAAATACTGAAACAGCAAAACCCGTATGACATCCAGGCTTGGGCAAATATATGGCACATAACATTCATGCCACACAAGTTCCAGGCAATAACCATCATCGACAACAGAATCTAATCATCTCATCTGTACATTCATTGGTATTAGCATATCTGAATTGCCTACCAACATCCTGGAAGTTACCACTGACCAGCAACATTCATAGTGTGGCTACTAGAGCAGGTCAGAAGTGAAGAAGTCCAGAATGAATAACTCACTTATTCGCTCATCAATACTTCTCCACCATATACAAAGCACAAAACCTGGACGGGTTCAGCTCCAATAACACAACGTTTGACAGTATTCTGGCAAAAGCAGTTTGCTTGATTGGCACCCCATCTACCACCTTCCACATTCACTCCCTTCACCACTGTCATACAGTGGGTGCAATGTGTACCACCTACCAGATCAACTCACCAAGGTTCCTTCAATAGCATGTTCCAATTCAATGACTCCTGCCACTCCAAAGGACATTAGCAGCAGATATGTGGGTACAGCACCCCCTGCCAGTTCCTTTCCAAGTCACACATCATCCTGACTTGGAAATGTAATGTCCTTTAGCGTCACTAAGTCAAAATGTGGAACACTCCTCTCTCTAGTACTGTGGATATACCCATACACCAAGCTCACCATCACCTTCAAGGTAGTACTGAGATCCCAGCCTCTGATTTACTTTTGTAATAACTGTGTATGGTTTGTCCGGTTAATTTTCTGGTCGACAGTCACCTCCAGGATATTGATCGTAGGAAATTCAGCAACAGTAACGTCCCAGAACATTAAGGGAAGATGATCAAATTCTGTTGGTGGAGACAGTCATTATTTGGCACTTGTGGGATATGAATGCTTCTTACCACTTTCTAGTCCAAGGGTGGCACGGTGGCACAGTGGTTAGCACTGCTGCCTCACAGCGCCAGGGACCCGGGTTTGATTCCAGCCTCGGGCGACTGTCTGTGTGGAGTTTGCACATTCTCCCCGTGTCTGCGTGGGTTTCCTCCGGGTGCTCCGGTTTCCTCCCACAGACCAAAGATGTGCAGGTTAGGTGGATTGGCCGTGCTAAATTGCCCATAGTGTTCAGGGAGGTGTAGATTAGGTGGGTTATAGGGGGATGGGTCTGGGTGGAAT